CGTCTTTGTACCCAATATTACTAAGTTCTACTGTTGTCATTCCATACTCGTTGTCTACTGTTACCCCGCCTCCGGTCACCTTGACCCATTGGCACTTGAACAATGGGATCTTCAAAGTAGGTGCATATTCTAGTTCCCATATTTCATCTATACGTCCATAATATGTCTGCTTATTCCCATTCGGGTCTGTGGCATCTATGCGGACACCACTGTTTTGGTTGGTATTCCTTTTATCTTGGGCTACTGTGTAGAATATGTTCCCATTTATCTCGTACCATTTGTATGTGACGATATGCCATGATGGTTGCATAGCCAATAAATACAGTTGCTCATGGATGCTCTCATCACCTTGACATTTTTTTCGCAACCAACCGTCGAAAGTTTCCATGTGCTTACGCGTAATCCATGCTTCAGTCTTCCCTGAAAACTCGGATCATAAGAGATCCTTATGTGTCACAATATACGGATCTACCAAAGAGGAGTTCTGTAGAACTGTGTAGTGCGCTTTATTAAAATAATCATCCTCCATACCAATATATGTTTTCCTCCCTAGTGTCCCCTTTCCGCTTAGTCTCCCCTCATGTCTCGATTTAGGAACACCAATCGAGTCAAGGTCGGGAATAAAGTCAACACAGAACTCAATGACCTCTTCTATTCCATAGCCCTTGGCGATGCTTTCTTCTGCTTTCTTCTGGGCGAGCACGGTTTTGAACATATTTCTTTAGGACTCCCATGAATCTCTCTAAGGGGAACATGTTGTGTAGGAACACAGGACCGAGAAAGAAAATCTCCTTGACTAGGTGAACTAGGAGGTGTGTCATGATATCAAAGAAAGAAGGAGGGAACACCAACTCAAAGCTGACAAGACATTGAACCACATCATTCTGTAGTTTAGCTAGATCAGTTGGATCAATTGCCTTCTGAGAAATTGCATTGAGGAATGCACATAGCTTCACGGTGGCTAGACGTACATTTGGAGGTAGAATTCCTCTTAATGCAACTGGAAGTAATTGCGTCATGAGAACGTGACAGTCATGGGACTTTAAGTTACATAATTTTTTCTCTGGCACATTTATAATACCCTTTATATTCGAGGAGAATCCAAATGGTACCTTGATGTTGTTTAAGCATTCAAACATGATTTCCTTCTCCTCTTTGCTTAGAGTGTAGCTGGCAGGACATAAGTAATGGCGTCCATCATCTATCTTCTCTGGATGCAGGTTGTCTCTTTCTCTCAAACAATGCAGGTCCTGTCGTGCTTCAAATGTGTCTTTAGGCTTTCCATACACACCCATGAAGCCTAGTAGGTTCACACAAAGATTCTTCGTCAGGTGCATCACGTCGATCGAGCTGCGGACCTCTAGGACTTGCCAATAGGGTAGCTCCAAAAATATGGACTTCTTTTTCCACATGGGTGCATGACCGTTAGCGTCGTTCGAACAAAGTTGGCTGCCATGTCCTTTTCCAAAGACGACTTTCACATCATTGACCATATCGAGTACATCCTCACTGGTTCGGTTGCAAGGCTTGGTCAGGTGGTCTGCCTTCCCTTTAAAATGCTTGCCTTTCTTTCTTACGGGGTGATTTGCAGGAAGAAATCAACGATGGCCAAGGTACACGACCTTTCGACATTTTTTCAAGAATACACCTCTAATATCACCGAAGCAGTGTGTGCATGCATTATATCCCTTGTTTGACTGTCCTGAAAGATTACTTAGAGCAGGTCAATCATTGATTGTTACGAACAATAATGCTCGCAGATCAAAGTGTTCCTATTTGTACTCATCCCACACACGTACACCTTCTTTATTCCACAAAATGAGAAGTTCGTCAATAAGTGGTCTCAGGTACATATCGATGTCATTACCAGGTTGCTTCGGGCCTTGGATGAGCACATGCATCATAATGAACTTCCGTTTCATGCATAACCAAGGAGGAAGGTTGTAGATACTTAGAGTAGTAATGAGCCAAGTGCTATGACTACTGTTCGCTCTCCAAAAGGATTGATACCATCTGTACTTTAAAGCAAACCTTAAGTTTCTTGCATCATTTGCAAACTCGGGAATTTCTCGTCGATTGCTCTCCACCGGGACCCATCAAGAGGGTGTCTCAACATATTGTCTACCTTACGGTCTTCTTTGTGCCATCGCAACAATTTTGCATGTTCTTTGTTTCTGAACAGACGTTTCAAGCGTGGTATTATAGAAGCATACCACATAACCTTGGCAGGGATTTTCTTCTACGGACGTTCGCCCTCAACATCACCAGGGTCATCTCGCCTGATCTTATACCACGATGCATGGCATACCGGGCAAGCATCCAATTTCTCGTATTCTTTGCCACGGTAGAGGATGCAGTCATTAGGACATGCATGTATCTTCTTGATTTCTAGCCCCATAGGACAGACAACTTGTTTTGCTTCGTAGGTAGTGGCGGACAATTCATTGTCCTTCGAAAGCATCTTCTTTTGGATTTTTAGTAACTCTCCAAATCCCTTGTCAGATACACCATTCTTTGCCTTCCATTGCAGCAATTCTAGTGTGGTTCCCAACTTTTTCTGCTCTGCATCACAAGTTGGGTACAACAATTTCTTGTAATCTTCTAGCATCCGCTCGAACTTGATCTTCTCCTTTTCACTTTCACATTCTCTTTGTGCGTCACGAATGACCTGACAAAGATCATCAGCAGACTCATCTTCTGCGGCTACCTCTTCTTCAGCTTCTCCCATTGCAGTATCATTGAAGCACGCACCATCGGGAATAATATCATTGTCGTCCCATTGTTCTTCTTCACATTCTTCCATTGCAACGCCGGTTTCTCCGTGCTTCGTCCAACAAATATAGTTTGGCATGAAACCCGACTTGAACAAGTGTGAATGAAGAGTCCTTGAGCAAGGATATTCCACCGTATTCTTACATACGGCACAAGGGCAGCACATGAAACCATCACGTTTGTTTGCCTCGGCCGCATGTAACAAAGAATGCACGCCGTCCATGAACTCTTGGGAGCGACGATCAGCATTGTACATCCAATGCCGACTCATCTGTATTACATGACATAAATACCGTATTAAAACCTAGAACATAATTAGTTAATTATACAACATGCATACCACCACAAAAGCTATAAATTTAAGAAATCTTCGCTACAATGTAGACAATCCCAACTACCACTAAAAACACTAAAGCTAAAATGCACTTCAGCAGCACAAGGATTTCGCGACCAATCCCAACTAAAACAGACAGATCCCCCGTTTGTTCAACATCTTTAGGCTTCTTCGGCTGGATCATTGCCTCATTAGCCGCCATATCTGCCTGTTGTGCAAGATATTTTTGCACGAGTTTAACATACTCTTCCTCCCAGTAGAAGTCTGAACATCCAGTGCCATCCCACTGAAATTAAAATAGAAAATTAGAACTTTAATCACAACCATCATGAAAATAGGTATAAACTAACCATAGTCATTAAATACGATAAAATAACTCACATTGCGATCCGGACACTTGTAGAAAATGCGACCTTTGTTAGGACCCTCCTTCTTCACTCGGTACTCCATCACAATCTTCGTCTCATCACAACACTTGTCGCATGCAATGAGTGGGAGGCCCGGCCTAAGTCGCTTTGGAAACCCATGAGAGGCCGATGACCCGGAAGCAGTTGCCATCTACTCTCTATACACATTTTTAATACACTATAAATTTCTCATTTTATAAACAAATAAAATTAAAAAAACTCTAAAATTCTCTATATCTCTAAACAATGAAGTGTGCTATGCATGCTACAAATGAACGGTGAATACTAGTTTTTAATAGCTACTTTAATCTTCCTTCATGTAAATATGCAAGCTTGAAGTTTAAAGATTTCCAGAGCGTTTAACACTACTCTGCTTGCCGTGGCCATGGTCATTGTGTTCTCGTCTTTTACTGCGGCAGGTAAGTAATTCACATGATATTTCCGCAAATTAACAGAAGAATGGGAGTGTACACACATAACAATCGATTATCGTTTATATTTATATATATACTACATTTGGGTACGGTGATTGACAGACTACTGCGACGATATCGGGACGTATGAATAAATAACCATCCGTACTAGTTGACCTTGCTTACGTGATTATCTCGGCGAGCATTTCTCCACCGGATGGCACTGTACTTGGCCACGGAAGAGCTCCGATTCTACGAGGAAGGGAACACGGTATTCCACGACCGTTGCCGCTCTCCCTAGTAGAATCAAAGCTCCTCCTTGACGTCCGTTACCGCTCGGCAGAGAACATGCTTGCCGAGATGAACACGGTCCGCAAGTTCAACTAGCTACTTTAACCTTCTTTCATGTAAATATGCAAGCTTGAAGTGATTTTGAGCTCAAATTGCTTACAAATAAAAAAAGCCACAATAAAGAACCATATATATATAGTGAACAAAATGAGATAAGACAATGGTGAAAAATGAGAGTATGAGATTGGTAACCTTTACAACTGAAGAATCGACGGAGGAATCGAAGAAATCGACGGAGGAATCGAAGAATGGATGGAGGAACAATGGAGGGAGGAAGCAAGAACACTAGTGCAGTGAACTTCAAAATGTGCTGAGCTCGGGCTCGGGGAGGAAGAAGGAGACGGCCGGGATATAAAGGGGGGACCTTTAGTCCCGGTTGGTGGCTCCAACCAGGACTAAAGGTAACTTTCCAACCCCCGGCGCAGCCACGGCCCGGGAGTAGACCTTTACTCCCGGTTGGAGCCACCAACCGGGAGTAAAAGTCTACCTTTAGTCCCGGTTGGTGGCTCCAACCGGGACTAAAGGTCCCTGCCACCTTTGTCTAGCGCAGTAGCCGTTGGGCAGTGACCTTTAGTCCCGGTTGGAGCCACCAACCGGGACTAAAGGTATCGCTAGTCCCGAGCGTAAAAAATTCCGGGACTAGAGCCCATTTTGACCGAGAATCAAATGTCTGTTCTCTACTAGTTGGTGGGTAAGAGCAGGCTACACATCGTTGATTATGGTATGCAGTTTGCATACCAGTGGACAGGCTTGCTCCGCTCGTTGGCGAGTAGAGAAGGTGCCCTGCCAGAGGTGAAGATCACTGCCATAGGCCTCCCCAAGCCCAAATCCTACCCAACCGAGAAGATCGAGGAAATAGGGTGCCGGCTCGGCAGATGTGCCCATGAGTTTGGTCTGCCTTCGTTCAAGTTCCACACTATCAAGACAAACTGGGAGGACGCTTGCATCGAGGACCTGAACATAGAGGCCGATGCGGTGCTTGTCGTGAATGACCTCTTCAATTTCAGCACCTTGATGGATGAGAGCATATCCTTTGATGGCCTAAGCCCCAGGGATATCGTCCTCAACAACATCAGCAAGATGCGACCACATGTGTTCATCCAGAGCGTCTACAATTGTTCGTATGGTTCGTCCTTCCTGTCACGGTTTCGAGAGATGCTGTTCTACTACATGGCACTGTTTGACATATTTGATGCAACCATCCCAAGGGAGAGTAGATCTCGAATGGTGCTAGAGCAGATCGTGCTTGGACGCTCTGCGGTGAATGCCCTCAGCTGCGAAGGCGCGGACCTAGTGGAACGCCCTGAGAGGTACAGGCAATGGCAGACGCGAAACCAACGGGCTGGCCTGAGGCAGCTACCACTGAGGACAAGCATTGTAGAGGTAGTGAAAGATATGGTCATGAAGCACCACCACAAGGACTTTCTGATCTCCCAGGATGGCCAATGGCTTTTGCAAGGATGGAGGGGGCGTGTCCACTTTGCTCACTCGACATGGGTTGCAGCAGATGCCTTTTCTAGAGTTTAGGTTCTTCCAATGCTGAATGATACAGCATGGTCTTCGGAAACTGCTTGTGATAGGAGAATTTGCTCACTCAGGCTACGACTGCTGGCATTTGTGGTTGCGTGTTGTTGTGGTTCTTTTTATATAGCAGAAGTGCTGCCCGACATGTATTAATATAGAAAAAGTAAAGTCTGTCTACTCAACAACCATGTGTTTTATGCAGTTTCAACACATAATTTTTTTTACACCATAGTATTTAAGATCCAATAGCCTCCACCCTTCTTCTATCTCCAGCCTCCACAGATCACACATCACATCACAATTTTTTCTATAGAAGGACAAAAAGACAGAGTCAGTGACACGCGGGGCCCACGGGGTGAGGTGGTGCCTCCCCACTGGTTCGAGCGACGTGGCCTGGGGCACGGCATTTAATGCCATCGCGAACGCGTCGGTCGTCGTCGTCCTCATTCCCATCCGCTCGGTCAACGAAGCGAGAAAGAGAAAGAGCGAGAGAGAGGAGGAAGGAGAGAGGGATGGAAAAGAGATAAAAAAAATCCATGTGTTTTTTTTGCTAAAACACATGTGTGTTGTATAACATTTCTGAAAATAATTCTTGTATTTTTGCATTGTGGACTTACAGTAGACGTGATACTATAGAAAGGTCTAGCACCGTTGATTCCGAAGCCTTTTTACTTCCTTTTGTTGGAATCTACAATACACGAGTGCGAATAGAAATTGCCTTGACTACCATGAGTTCCCCAACTGACGGAAATCAATCTGTGGTGTCAGTTCTTCTTAAACAGATGGTACAACACATTTGTAAAACATGATGGTCAGAGGCCCCTTTCATGCTGTCTGCTTCGAGCAGACCTCAATATAAGCACATAGCTGATCTACAATATGAAAATGCTCTGCAGTGCAGTTGTTTGTGTAAATGCCGCAGGAGGCAGTCAACTGTTACTGACGGTGCCAGGAAAATATAGTGAGGTCGAAGTGTTTGGGAAATGCCACAGCCTGAGCGACAGATGTTGCGCGAAGAGAAGAAATGTCTGGCAGTTTTTGCTTTACTCTGGTTCAGTTTCAGTCTCTGCTATGAACAGAATTTATACTCCATGGTGGTGTGATGGACTGATGATTCTGTCTTCATCCTCTAGAGTAGCCACACGAGGCTTTGCTGGGAGTGTTTCTTCAAAGGTGACAGACTAACCTCTCTCGGTTTCCTTGTTCAGTTAACGCCATTCTTCTATGTCGGTCATTCTGGGCGTGTCACCAGCTTCTCTAGCGTCTCCAGAATTTGGAGACTACAACGGTGTTCCAACAGATCCTTCACTGGATACAGAACTCCCCAGCTTTTGAACATCGCACTGATGGATGCAGTGGCAAAGCCAGAGATTTGGATTAGGGGGAACAAATGTCAATTGGGGGGGGGGCATTTACTCTTTTGTTATATGGCATTAACTAGATCATTAAGAGGTATAGTGGAAAAGCATCTAAGTTATGGAGTGCTGGGACCCCTCCAGCCCACTCACCGCCCCGGTCTTCACCCCTAGATGGATCGCCATAGCCGCTACTAGTGTAATAAAACAACAGAAGAATGGACGGTGACGGACAGCGCATGATGACACGGCTCACAATGGATCCTACACGTTGAAGAGGATCGCCATTGCCACTCCTCTGTCATGTTCTACCATCTCACATACCACGGTGACAGAAGGCGCACGATGTCAACCTCTAAACTTCGACTTGGACCGCGGACCAGATCATACTGGCAGCAAACACCATGCCCATCCCAACCTTTATGCAACGACTAAGAATGCGCTTTTACAGTAACATCCCCTCGCAGTCACAGCGCAAGCGCTGCAGACGGTGAGACCGGAGAAGAAGCTGACAAGCTAACATCCCCCCACACTCATAACAGTTGATGCGTCGCGTATGTTGTGCGCTACTACAAAAATGATTTTGCGAGGCGGTGCCCTTTTATTAACCGAGGCGGTCACAAAATGCCAACCGCCTCGTAAAATGCCTGACGATTTTTGGAGGTGGATATTTTTATTTACAGAGGCGGTCACAATTAACCGTCTCGCAAAATGCATTTATGGAGGAAGACATTTTATTTACTGAGGCGGTAAAAAATATCCGCCTCGGTTTTATGGAGGGGGTCACAAATGTACGCCTTGGTAAATCATTTACGGAGGCGGGCATTTATAAGGCATCCGCTGCCGTAAATCAGGCGTAGCCCGCTAACCCACAACAGTCCACTACCATCTCAACTATATAAACAAACACTAAACCCTAGCTCACATTCATCCATAGGCATCCGCGCCCTCTGCCCCGAACGGCGCTGCCGGTCACCTTCTCCCCACTACAACCGAGCGCACCCGCTCCCTCTCCCTCTCCTTCTCCCCTCCCCAAGTGGTGCCGCCACACTCTCCTTCTCTCCTCCCCGAGCGGCGAGTGGGGCTGTGGACCTTGGAGGGCGTGGGGCCATGCGCCCCGGCGATTGGAGGCCGTGCACTTGGCAGCGGCAGTGGCCCCTGGCACCTCTCCGGCGTGGATCTCCTTCGGTGTGGCCCTCTCCGGGAAGGGGAGGCTCCAGGCAAGGGCAGCACGAATCCGGCATGGGGCGTCGCCAATCTCCTCCAGCGCGGCCATCTCCAGGCAGGGGCGGTGCGAATCTCCTCCTCCGGGGTGGATCCACTCTCCCGCACCCTCCCTCCCTTCCTTCTCTGGCGGATCCGGCGAACGGTGGTGTGGATCCGGCGAGCGGCGGTGCAGATCCGACGAGTGGAGTGGCAGCGTGTGGATGGGCTCGGCGGGCCCTTGGATGGGATCGCTAGGCTTGTCCGTGAGTTTTTTTTTTTTGTTTCTTTTATTTGATTTACCAAGGTGGGCATTTGAACCGCCTCGGGAAAGATCGATTTACCGAGACCTTTAGACCGAGGCGGTTGTGATGCCTGCCTCGGTTAACCCATTTCGCCCACGTCCAAAAAAGTTTATGTAGTAGTGGTGGTTGGAGAAGAAGCCGATCAGTCCTAATGCAAGGCGTAGCCCTTTGTTTCAATGTTGAGGTAGCCGAGCATGAGGGCGCAGTAGCCGTAGTAAAAGAAGTTGTGATGTAGATGGCCGAGGTCAGGTTGCAGTGTCGATGGAGCTGCAGGCACACAAGTGGCGCCATGATGATGATGGAGACGCGTCGAGGTACTTGCCGTGGGAGGAGATGTTGCCAAAGTCAATACAGTCTGGGTCATCGTGGACGTAGAAGAAAGGCAACGACGCAATCGAGGCAGACGGAGTAGGAATGGGAGGATCGATGACAAGTCGATGTAGTCAAGCCGCCTGAATGCCGAGGCGCGGGCTAGGTCTGCCAGGCCCAAATCGCTTCGGGGACGAAAGCACGCGTTGGTGTTGCCAATACCGGGCGTACAAGTTAGAGGGCCCAAACCATTCATTAGCGTAGGAGGGACTAGCAGAGAAGGTCTCAATGACAGTTGCGGTGCGCAGAACGGCGGTGTAGAAGGTGCCGATGCATCACGCGGTTATCGGAGCGAACGAAGTAGGAGGGATGAGACGACGGTGATGCCGACAACGTGGTTGTCTTTGGACGAAGAAGAAGCAGTCTAAGGGAGTAGACGCGTTCATGAAGTAGGGTTCGATGACAACACTAGGGGCCGGCCGGCAACCAGGGCTCAGCGATGACATGGGTGGCAACAGTTCAATGACAAAGACCCAATCAGCAGGATGAAGACCTTGTGCAGATGGATGACGCAACAATGATTGTGCAGAACAGTCAACGATGCTCAAGGGACGGCGATGTAGATGCAACGGCGAAGCGGACACACAAGCGACGGTGCTGCAACCCAACGAGGCGTCACAGCAGCAACCCAGCAGCCTTGTTGCCCGGAGAAGATGCGCGTACGACTCGGCAATGGACGTCACAGGAGCCGGTTGATTCATGCATAATCAGTTGTACGGACCGAGTACGCGCGAGGTGGAGCGATGATGGAAGAAGTCGGTAGAGGCGTCCTGATCAGTTCGTGGCGATGATGAACCGACGATGTAGATGTGCAGACTGAATGACCAAGAAGCAGCGCAGGAAGGTGTCCCCTCGGCATCGCATGCCCCGGCCAGGCCGCACAGTCGAAGATGTAGATGCTAGTGAAGTCGATTCCGATGCCGGAGTAGTACACGTGAGCTCGACGAGCGGTGGGCGACTCAATCCCGATCAGTGATCGGGCAAACAAAAAAGATACAGGCAGGGGATCGGGTGTACCTAACAATGCAGCACCTAGCCGGCTGCAGTGTGACACGATCGAGTAGCACGGGGCGCATGACAAGTCGCGATTGAGCGGGGTCGAAGGCGCCGACACAGATTGGCTAGCCATCACCCTGGTGGCTCGGTGTTGGGGTCGACGTGGCCCAGGCCACCATCACGGAGGCGCGTGATGAGTTGACGCTCAGCGTCCTCCACAGCAAACGTGGAGATGGCGACCAGGTGGCGCGCCATCGTGGGAAGGCCTGATCTGCTGCTTGACGACGATAGCAGTCGCATCAATAGGATCGGGCACCTAAATAGGGGTGCTGCCCCCGAGGGAGCGAGGTGCGGAAGTGGCGGCGGCTAGGGTTAGGATCTAAACCTAGGCGAATGATACCATGCAGAAGAATAGAATTGGCACGATAGTTGGATGTATTGTATTGGGCCTCATGGGCTAATTATATGGGGTACATAGGACTAACCCCCCACTTGATTAAACAATGTGATAGTATTCCTATTTACTCTAACAGTAAAAAAATGCGGAAACTAGGTCAGGCCAACTTATTTTGACCTCTAATTTTGTTTATTTGAAAAGCGCTTCTTTGACCGTTCAACCAAATAGGCCACAGTATTGTAAACACCGCAGAGAGAGATCGTTGCAACAAATAAAATATCTTTTGCATCGGAGCATGGCAGTGGGAAAGCGGTTCCTTTCATGGCGTCTGTCTCACAGCTGACCTGCGCTTTTACCCATCTTTTATACTAACTAATG